CGGCAACCTCCAGTAGTTTGGACGGGGGACACAGAGTTCCAGCTGGTGGCCGTTGTTGGAGTGTATTTTGTTGCTTTGACGACCGCAGTTCTTCCAAATCAAAACTGTCGCGTGCAGGTGGCTGAATGGGGGGTTCGGAAAAAGAGAAAGGCGAACGGCATGATTGGGTGCTACGTTGTACGACCTTCGCTTCCGAAAAAGATCTTTTTGGTGAAGTCTATGGCACTTTCATTCGACCTCACCTACAGTATAATATACAGGCGTAGCGGTCGTAACTCCCAACAGACAAATTATGTACCGGGGTAGTGTAACGTCGTGCAGCAAAGTAGGAGGTCTAAAATACCACTCTTATATAGAAGGTTTGAATGCCTTAATCTATATCATCTAGACAGCAAAGAAGTGATTCTAGCTCAGTTTACAGGACAATTTATGGGCTTGAGCAAGGGCTGCGCTTTAAGGGCATGTTGCCGTAGGACCTCTGCCTCATCTTCGTGGACACTCAATGACGGTGCGCATAAAAATGTCCTGAATAAACCTACGTTCTGAATTCTCCACACAGCACGTAGTAGAACAATGGAATGATCTTCAGAAATCAGTCGTGGAAATGACCTGTTTCTTGTTTTCTCTCGGCAAGCTGAACTTGAATTAATACCATGTCAACTCCAGACAGTTATTTGTAAAACTAACGTTACTTACATTTTGTGGATACTATTTATATAGTGGCAATTTGTAGACTGCGTGTAGAAATGTATAGGACGCACCAGCATGTAATAAATGTGTTTTCAAAGGCATTACCTATTACTCTCTTTAAATGAACGGAGAACAAAACCAAAGTGCTATTGGAAAGAATGATTTTGTAAAGTTTTTGTCCTAAGTTCGGAGGAGTTTGACAGCGCCAAGGAGGTAATATACCAAGGCACCTACTATCAATAAAATGCCATATAGTATGCATAAAATTGCAGATTGGGTGTGCACAATGTTGTATTCCTCATGGAAACTCTTAATAAACAGATAGATACGACATTTTTTGATGTAAGTTGTACGGTCTTCAAAAATCTCATGATTCAAAACTTTGTTAAAGCCGAATAGGTGGCTCTTCATCAACTATGAAAATTTAAGAACACGTGATTGACTCCCATATTAAATAAATAAAGAATACTTTTCAGCATTATTTCTATAAAATATACTTAAATTTTTAAGGGCATCGAGAATCAGCCGAAAATACCTACTAGTTGTCATTCGCTACCCAGTATGTTTCCACGCGACCGAGAAAAACACACACTCAAAAGTCTGGATCGTGAGGCGTCTGAAATATTACAGGATTATGCCGCACGATGTTAGATATTACAACCCCATCTAAATTATTATTCCTAATCGAAAACGCAGTTTAGAATGTCAATTAATATTTCCTGAGAACAGTCACTGACTACATACTCTTTGATTAACGTTCATCTCACGACTAACAGAACTCGTCTGTCCCTCCCTGCCTTGGACCTCAATAGAGGACCTGACAGTCGTAGCAGCTGGTAGTATAGGCAGGTAGCATTGCCGGCAAAGACAAGGGAGACTAGAAAGGCAATTTCTGGTTTATTAGCCGTCATCAGTCAGTCTAACCAGATCCAAGTGGTGTCCCATCCGAGCCTCGAACTCGCGACGATTCAGATCACAGTCAAAGGCCCTAATCATTGAGCCAGGACGACATTATCTTGCTGGTGTGGGTCATGGGATATTGACACTCTTTGATTATTAATATTTATTATTAATAATATGCAAGAGCGGCCTTACAAGAAAGCCCTACCGAAATTAATTTCTGAGAAACTTAAAAAGCCGAAATTACAAAACATCCAACTTGAAGATTTCAAAAATAAGCCAAGAAACGCACCAGGACGCTGCCAAACTTGCGCGGCGAGTTTCTCCACCAGCGACTTCGCAGAGGCTGAGAGAAATCCATTCCGAGAGGTGTTGCTGACAGCGAGGACGGCTCAGTGTCCCCTTCACAAGTCCTCAGTTCATCCGTTTGCGAGGGGGATTCTGGACCTGGAGCGTTCGCCAGCAACCCGTTTTGAGCAGTACATGGGTCGTGGCCGCAGACCAGAGGAAGCACCGGAAAGAAGGCGATTGATGTGTCGCCGCGAAAGAACAGTTCAATGTTGGCCATGGAGAGGCAACTACCCACGACGCACACTGTCTCATCGTACTCCTGCATGATGCTAATCATCTCACTGACAGCTGAAATGCAGACATCCTAGAGTAGATGACCTAACTACTCGTGCAAAGTCATGATTGAAATATGAGTGAGTAGTTTGGTTTGTGGAGTGGGTTGGAGGCTCAGAAAGAGGCTTAGACTTTGTACACCGATGGAGGAGACAACAACAACAATCCAGAGAAGAGGGACTAGATAGTTCTACTCAGACGCAAAAAAAACAAATGCATGGCGAATCCTTCTTTATATAAGGAATGCGTCTGAACTCGTTGAAAGGCACTTGCGGAAACACCAAGTAAAAGTGGCGCACAAACCGACGGCTACTTTACGCGCCCAGCTTGTACAACCTAGGGATAGGGTTGTGTATCCCGATAAGAAAGAAGTCGTCTAAAGGTCATATGCGAAGCTTGTGATACCTTTTATTGTGGCCACAGACGGAAAGTCCGTCTCCACACACATCCACGAGCACCAACTGGCAGAGAAGAGACATGACCATTTATTCGAAGTGGCTATGCATAGCCTTGATACAGGACATAGTTTCGTATGGGGAAAAACACGCATCATCCGAGCTTGCCCCTCCCAAAAAGGCCGAGAAGTATTTCAGGCCATGCACTCCGATGATTCATGCATCAACCGACATATCGAGTTGAATGGAATGTGCAAACATCTCAAAGAAAGATGGAAGACACGACAGCTGATCAATACGGACTAACGTGAGCCGCAACTGCTAATCAACGTTCATGCCGGATGACCAGGGGCTGACGCAAATTGCTGTTGCCAATTAGCGCTCACACCAGATGACTATACAATTGTACCAGCACTTTCGCAATTTTAATTGTTCGTTGCACATCTTCTCAGGTCTGAAGACGACCTGGGGATACAGCGTCGAAAACTTACTGGATAAACATACCTTGTTTTCCCAGAGAACCTCTTTCCTTCAAAAGAAAACTGTATGCTCAATCTTGTATGTTGAATGCACACAGGCAGGATTTGGAAGAAATTGCAGGTTACCGTATATCCATGATACTCTCGATGCTATCTAATTTGACACACATCTCTTGTTTTTGTGTGTTTTGGTATAAAGGATTACTAATATAAACGGAAAATGTTCCAAAAATGTTTTTCAGCAACCAGAAAATGTCAAGGAAAATCAACTGTAAGAAATGGGATTGCTTTCCAGACACAGGGAATGAATTCGGCTTTAAAAACCTTTCTGCCACAAAATGTAGTAATAGACGTGTTTGAGCATATTTTGTTTTACCACACCGACATTTGAGACTGTAAAAAAATTACGTATGTTTTACCTTGAAGATGGATGCCAAAGACAATTTATGTTAAATTTGAACTATGTGGCGAGATAGTTTTTT